GTGAACGCACTCTAACGCCAGTTCTCAGCGAACATAGTGCTGTGCAGAGTATAATCAATACTCGCGCGGTGGGGGAGAGCGAGGGATGCCAAGTGGGGGATTAAAGATGCAGTCTGGTTGAAAGCAGTCATAAGTGACATCGAAAGAGATGGAAGTAGCGAGCGGAGGGTAACTAGAGAGCCGTCTTTCCTCGAGAGGAAGCCTCGGCCTCTGATCAGCGACGGAAATATAAAGTACACCACACAACCCTTCAACTTGAATTCTGCGCAGACTAGTTCAACCTTAATTTCTTTTAACTGCATAAACTCGTGTAGCAACCTCGTAGGGCATCGGGGAGTCGTCATCAAACGATACATACCTCATCAACCAATCATCCACACATGTTTGATGAAAGGAATGCATACACGGCAGGAATCTCACTTTTTCTCCGGGTTCAAAATCTACCATACAAATAGCACATCTGGAATTCAGAATGGAATTACTTAGCAGAAGTTACATTATCACGAGAGGTTGAAATTAGGAAATCCTCAGAATCTATTAAGCCTTAGGAAAACAGCGTGAAATCTGAATAAAACAACTTACTCGCTTCCCTTCATATCCGAGCGAAACTCGTCTGCCGGAATCTGCTCCAGAAGACTCCTAACTCTCTGTCGTTGGGCATCTTCACGCAATTTTCCCTCGTCAGCAGCTGAACGTTGCCGGGCCACGTTCGCAACATACAGTTGATTTACATAAGGACTCTTAAAGAACTTATTTAACTTGTTATTCCATTATTTCAGGACTTTTTAATGCTTCTAACACTTCATAACGCAAGGAGGCAGCAGAAGGTAAGACGAAAAATTTAACAGACTCGAATAATGGCCAAAAGTCCTTTGAATTCCCATTAATTTTCCCATTTTTTTCAGTCCCATTAATTTCGATGTGCAGCACCTTGGCCACAATGTTATTGATCACTGTTGTCATAATTTCCAAGCGATATTCATGTACAATGGAACGATAGGAATTCAACGCCTTTAGACTGCGTGCATATGAATTAATCTTTAGCCGATTTCTCTAAAATTTAGGGTTGTGCAATAAAAAAATGAGTCAAGAAGGTCGCGAAGAAAAGTTTCCTGCCAAAAAACAAATGAGGGAGTATGAATTTGATGAATCAAAATAAACATCCTATTTCTCGTCGATTCCACAGCAACAATCCCTGATCGAGGACTTCTTTCATCCACGTTAAAATCAATAATCCACCCAACACCACATTATGACTAAGTATTTTTATCGACCGAGACTGTTTGAACGCTGATTTTGAAGGATCCATTCGCAGAACTTTTTGATTTTGTTGTGTCACATTGCAACTTTAGAATTTCCTTCATTCCATCAAAAGAACAGACATTCCCATTAATGCTTATCTTGAAACCAAAAATCGGACAGCGAGTCTATAAAGGTAAAGGAGAAGAATGAAGGTTGAAGAAAAGTTCATAAATTATTTGTTAAATTGACAACGGAAAATCACTAAAAGTGGTCTATTTATCAGTATCAATTAAAAGAACAGTCGAGTACGCTCTAAAACCAAACGAAACTTCGTGGTTGATAGAATCGAACTCTTTCCAGTAGTTTATTTTTTAGACGAGGTTTCGAGCCGTGAACCCATCTTCATGTCTACAAACATCATAATCATTGCCTACATAAACACCAACTACCAATAATATTATACAAAGGAAGAGCTAATGGCCCCAAACGTCGCCAGGGAAAAAACGTCTAGCAGAGCTTCATTTTAACGATAAATAGGACGTAAAAACAATGGAACTCAATTACAAACGAAACTTTATAAACAGTCAAAGATGAAAGAGGAGAGAAATTATTTCGCATGGAGCCACTGCAAGAGCATCCATCCGAAGAGGTTGTTCTTAATTTTCATGGCCCGCCGGAGGCTATGTTGTAAGGAGGGAATACCATTATCCTAGAAGTAAGTTTCCGGTGCCATAGGGATGCCTTGGGCTTTTACAAGCGACGAGCTCAGTATGTCGACGGGGGGTGGGGCATTCTGCTTTCCATAGATGTGCCGACCCATCTAGGTAGCCTTTTCTCGAGTTGACACGTTTTAGGATGGTGGCTAGACGATCTTGCACCAGCTTCACAAGGGTTCACAAGTTTTACCAGGGTGAGATTTGTAAACCGGAACTAGGGAAGCAATGGTAGTACAAAATGCCCCCCCCCCGTCGACAAACAGCGCCCAAGCGACGTAATCTCTAACGTCACCTGCTTGTGAAGTGAATTTCTGCCATTCAATATGCGACTACGTGATCTACAATACACTATCGGTCGGTAATATGTCTTTCCCAGGCAAAATTGGACTGAAGTTTCTCATCTACCGCAGCTAATTTCTCCACATTTATTGTTTAAACCAGAGGCTCGGATCGCCCCGCCTTCGGCGGGCGATCCTCCTTATGCGTGTGAAGTGGGTCCCCGGCCATCCAAACTGAGGGCCAGTCGGATCGCCCGCCTTCGGCGGGCGATCCTCCTTATGCGTGTGAAGTGGGTCCCCGGCCATCCAAACTGAGGGCCAGTCGGATCGCCCGCCTTCGGCGGCGATCCTCCTTATGCGTGTGAAGTGGGTCCCGGCCATCCAAACTGAGGGCCAGTCGGATCGCCCGCCTTCGGCGGGCGATCCTCCTTATGCGTGTGAAGTGGGTCCCCGGCCATCCAAACTGAGGGCCAGTCGGATCGCCCGCCTTCGGCGGCGATCCTCCTTATGCGTGTGAAGTGGGTCCCCGGCCATCCAAACTGAGGGCCAGTCGGATCGCCCGCCTTCGGCGGGCGATCCTCCTTATGCGTGTGAAGTGGGTCCCCGGCCATCCAAACTGAGGGCCAGTCGGATCGCCCGGCGGGCGATCCTCCTTATGCGTGTGAAGTGGGTCCCCGGCCATCCAAACTGAGGGCCAGTCGGATCGCCCGCCTTCGGCGGCGATCCTCCTTATGCGTGTGAAGTGGGTCCCCGGCCATCCAAACTGAGGGCCAGTCGGATCGCCCGCCTTCGGCGGGCGATCCTCCTTATGCGTGTGAAGTGGGTCCCCGGCCATCCAAACTGAGGGCCAGTCGGATCGCCCGCCTTCGCGGGCGACTGCAACATTTATGCTTGTGAGGTGGGTCCCGGCCGATCCAAACTGAGGCAGCTCGAGTCCCGCTTCCGCCCTTTTCCCATCAGAAAATTTTTTTTTTTCGCAATTCCGAAACATTACCTTTTCACATTTGTGGGGATATACCCCCGCCCCCCCCGGCCCCCCCCTTCTAGTGGAACGGTTGTGAAATTTTCGTAAAAGGCGAGGGGTGGAATGCTGGTACTGGATGCTCAGTGGATGAACTGAAGTGGAAGTATATGTGCATTTGAGTTGTTGCAGAATGAGTAGCAGGTGAATAAACAAATAAATAAATGCAAAAAATTGGTAGTAAGTTATGAATTTTTCGATTATGAGCTCATATTCACTGCTGTTCTCACTTGCCTTGCGACTATATTATGAACTTTTGCAGCAGGCGCCGCCGACTCGGCGCGCATCTCATCCGCTGGGGTGTGTCTTCACTTATGTTACCCCCCCCCCTCGCCCCCCCCCCCCTCTCCATAGAATGCAGCCCACTCGAATCTGTAACAAAATTCGAGTCGATAACAGAGCTGGTTCATCCAAACACTGCTCGCAATCGAATCAACCTCGACCCACTTCTTACTCCACGTTTTCCCGCTGCTCGGGTAGTTCCGGGTTTGAACTTCGAAATTTTTACTTGGTCCCCGCCTACCCAGACAAACGCCCGCCGACTGCAATCTGCCGGGCTCTTTCCAACGCCCAGTTCGGGTGTGCCTCCTTCTGTTTATCTACCTGCCCACTTTTTACTCGAGTCCGTTTTCCCGCTGCCCGAGTAGTTCCGGGTCTGAATTTTGAAGATTTGCGTTAGGCCGTTAGGCCCCGCCCGCCCGAACAAACGCCCCGCTCACTTCGGGTGTGCCCCCACGCCCATTGTGGGTCGTATTCTACTGTGCATAGAGAATGATTTTGTCCCGGGTCCCCGTGATCTTCCGAAGGAATTTACGAATTTTTGTCGTTGGCATTACTCACTTCGGTGCACGCCCCGTTTATTGTGTGCGAGGCTTGGTTTGTGACTTTCAACATGCCCTCACCCCCCATCCCAAAGTTGACGGCTTTTAAGTGTTTTGTTGACAACGTTTCAACAGACACCGCTCAGCTATACATAGGCCCCGCCCATTGTGGGCGGAGCCTATTCTCCTATTGGTCCGTCCGTTCGGGCGAACACGCAAGCGTACAAACACACATCACACAAAATCACAGCACACACACTTCCTGCTGTTATATACTAGAGAGGATATGTGTTCATCAGCGGATTCTTGCGACTGCGCTTACTAGTAAAGAAAACTAAGCAAAAGTGTTAATGCACCTGCGCATGATCAAACAAAGAAAATAATAAAAGTAATTCGCTAGTCCGTCATACGTTACGTATTTGGACATAGTCCCATATATCCGATGTTGCCGTTGACGTGGGAGGTGGCAAGGAGCTAGACAGTGAATAAATCACTTGTTGAGAGACTCAGAAAACTGTTGGCATAAAGTATTCAGTTCCTGTTCACCTCCTTTTCTCAGATGATCTGAACACCCGTCACCTGCCATCATAACGCTGTCTTACATGAAAAAAACCAGCTTTCAGTGTTACTGGCGCATCACGAGCAGAGTAGTTCCTGCTATTGGGGAATTTTTTCGAAAATATGACCCCCCCCCTCCCAAACTTCTTTCTCTGATAATATCCCTTTCCAACCATCCTACTTACCTACCATAGAAACTAACTACCCAACGACCAAATTCCACATTCAACCATCATCCAAAATGGCAGTTGCGCATTGGTTTTGGCGACGCCACCGGGGGAGGGCAAATACGACCTCCACAGGGGACTCCCCAATGGACAACGTGCACTGATCGTGAGATGTTATGAAACGTCGCAGAATGTCCTAACATGCAATGTACTGGACGGCGAACCTGGCCTAATTTCGTGAAAGATCATCGTACCAACCGCCTTAGGTAGAAACAAACGAATTTCGAAACTTACACTATGAGGAAGATGCATAACGGGATTGCTGAAACCCATCGCGTTTTCTGGTACTTCTCGTGAAGATGACCTGAAAATTATATGGCGCGATTTAGTATTGTACTCTCATAGGTAAGATGAAATTCATCGTAACTATCTCGAAATGTTCGCCGTCGGCCTAACCAACCATCCATGTGGCAATTCTTTTTTTTTCCTTTACAAGTGAAAACACACCACACTTGTTTCTGCAGAAATGAACACTGTTCAGTGATATTTCGAATATAAAAAAAGTTTCCGGGATGCACCATAGCCCCCTATGTGAAAGAAAAAAGGGTTTGAACGACTGTTAGTGAAAAACCCCTCTGGATCCAGAGTCAGGTTCAGCGACTATTGTAGATCTACTACCCTACTTCGAGGTGCTATCGTCATTGAGTGGGGTCACGGCAGCGCCCTCTCGTCCCAAGGCCTAGGCTGAGAACGCAGGCAGTCCGCGAAAGTGTTTGGTGTGTGGTCAGGGCACGTCTACGTTGGAAAATCCCTAGGGCAGGTGGAGGGGTCGCTTTGGTTGGTGTAGAGAGGTAGCTCGTATTTGGCGTGAGAACATCTCTAATTGATTGTTCATATTTTTTCCAGTTTCGCGCTGCCTACAGGGTGGATAGTATTGACTCGTTTTTGAAAGGGAGGGAGAGAGATAGTCGTATTTTACTTTCAAAAAATTTTTCTGAATCGGCGGAAAGAATGTTCGCGGTTGTTGACTTTCCGCGCTTTTGTCCATTTCACGTTTGCTACACCCCCCTTATTTCAAGTTGGTAGTTGTTGGTTCCGCCAGAGTTCTTTACAACTTCTATATTCGATAGATGAAGATAGATATTTTTAGTTGGAAGGAG